AATATTTAAAACCATTAACAGCATAACATACAAAATAATGACACATCAATAACAACACATTAACGTCTCGTAACTAAAATTGTGATCCATGTTTTATATGTTTTTTAGAATAAATTATTTGCTTACATTCTTGGAATTGTGTGTGTAGTGTGGTACTCATAGGTGTTTCCAAGCCTGGAGTGCAAATCACACATCGAAATATGTAAACGCTGAGCTTCTTCCTCACCGTGATTCACAGAAATAGAGGAGGAATACCTCACTACTAAACCATCCTAATCCTTCCTCCCGTCTTTTCAAAGCTCTGACTCAGAAGATTGTGAGAAGACAGAACTATCTTCATTTCCTAAACACATATGGTAAAGGTGTTGAGATGTTTTGGTTTCCAAAAAAGATTTAAAAACATGAGCCAGAATCTTGACCACAGCCTTTAATTTTCGGTTTAGTTTCTGCGATTTTCAAAATGACTAAGCATCATAATTTGCAGACATGACATGCAGATGATAAACATAGCATTTGCTGACACATGAGCAGAGAAAAGAGGAAAACCCAAAATGGATAACAGATGAGTGACATTGGTCTCAGGGCCAGAATATTATGAGTCAGCAGGCTGATATTCAAGTACTAACATAAGCTGCGTGAATAGCTACAAACATCTGAGAATTAATAGCTATATTATGTTCTTCACTAGCACACAGACAAATTGGACAGGTCCAGAAAAGAGTAACAAATACTCTGTGAGGAAATGTTTGGCCTCAAAAAAAAAAACTTTTGAAAAGTTGGACTTTAATGGTATTTTTAAATATGCGAACGATGATACAAAGAAGTCTTATTGGCTGCCCGCAGAGGGCAGAACTGAGTCAAGTTAGATTGAGAAAGGGTTCCAGCCAGATGTTAAGGATGATAAATACTTTGGATGTCTAAATGCTGCTGGAGCAGGGGTGTGCCAAAGCTTCTTCCATCAGTGGAAATCCTCAAGGAGATACTTGGGAGTCATTTGTCCTGACCTAATTCTTAGTTGCAGTTGTACTTATTTCTCACCGAGAGCTCAAATTGTATCACCCTGCTTTATTTATAAAATGGTATTTTATTTACATTCAATTCTCCGGCTGGCGTGATGTGTCACATCCCTCTTTCATTAAGGACGCCTGCACAACAAAAGACCACCGGCCCTTGCGTATGTCTGGATGTCTCTATTTATTTTACTACTAGCCGTCCCTTGCCAGGCGTTGCTGTGGCTCAGTCTAGTGATTTGGAAAATAAAGTAATGGGAAAGTGTTGGTTTCTAATATATGTAATTTCTTTATGCTTGTGGGTAAACAGTATTTCTTGTTGTTTCTTTGTCAGTGTTGATGTGGAGATTGTCTTGCTTGCCTACTCTGGGATATGTATGTAATTGACCTTCTTTAGGGGACCCTTTCAAATCTATGATACTATATCTGTGTGTGTGTGTGAATCATATATATCTATACACCTCCGGCCCAGCGTACCTGTCCGAACGTATCTCCTTCTATGTCCCACCTCAGAGTTTAAGATCTTCTGGGGAGGCCCTACTCTCAGCCCCGCCTCTATCACAAGTGAGGCTGGTAGGGACGAGGGACAGGGCCTTCTCGGTGGTGGCCCCTTGCCTGTGGAACTCACTCCCTGGGGAAATTAGGTCACCAACATCCCTCCTCTCCTTCAGAAGGAAGCTGAAAACATGGATATGGGACCAGGCCTTTGGATAATCTGGCAGACTGACAAGGTAATGACGACCAGAATTTGGAAAGGACTATGGTAATGCTGAATGGACTTACAGATTTTAGAACTCGGTGAACGTTGGCCACTAGATTGGCTTTTTAGTTGTTATTGTATTAATTGAATGTTTTAACTATTGTGATTATTGTTGTTATGTATTTTATCTGTTGAATTGTTGGCATCAAATTGTGCCGCCCTGAGTCCCCCCTTGGGGGTTGAGAAATAAATAAATAAATAAATACATAAATAAATAAATATCTCTATGTCTGGATGGCTCTTTGTCAGGAGGACTTTGATTACGTTTTCTTGCCCCGGTGAAGGGAGTTGGACTGGATGGCCTTAAGTATTTTCTGTTGGTCATGGGGTTTCTGTGTGGGAAGTTTGCTCCAATTCCATCATTGGTTGGGTTCAGAATGCTCTTTGATTGTAGGTGAACTATAAATCCCGGTAACTACAACTCCCAAATGTCAAGGTCTATTTCCCCCAAACTCCATCTGTGTTCATATTTGGGCATGAGGAATATTTGTGCCAAGTTTGGTCCAGATCCATCATTGTTTGAGTCTCTCTGGATGTAGGTGAACTACAACTCCCAAACTCAAAGTCAATGCCCACCAAACCCTTCTAGTGTTTTCTGTTGGTCATGGGAGTCCTGTATGCCACGTTTGGTTCAATTCCATCATTGGTGGAGTTCAGAATGCTCTTTGATTGTTGGTGAACTACAAATCCCCCCAACTACAACTCCCAAATGACAAAATCAATTTTTTGGAGTGATGATCACTCCTTGGTTTGTTAGGTGCAGCTGTCCAAATTTGGTGTCAATTTGTCGAGTGGTTTTTGAGTTATGTTAATCCCACAAGCGAACATTACATTTTTATTCATATAGAAGAACTGTCTTTGTTGGCATAATATATGGAAAGAGTGGGAAACAGAGGCGAAGGAGTCTAGAAACAGAGGCAACGGCATTTCTAGTACCATAGAGAATCACTTATCCAACATAAATGAGCTAACATAACTTTGGATAAGCGAAAATGTTGGATAATAAAGAGGGATTAAGGAAAAGTCTGTTAAACATCCAATTACATTATGATTTTACAAATTAGGCACCAAAACATTATGTTTTACAACAAATCAACGGAAAAGGCAGTTCAATACACAGTAACATTATGTAGTAATTACTGTATTTACAGATTTAGCACCAAAACATTACAATATATAGAAACTGCTGTGGATCTGGGTGGGAGGCAGATTGCATTGGATACTACAGAACGTTGGATGACCGAAGGTTGGATAAGCGAGACTCTATTGTATAAGCTTTCACGGGCCTTACAATGCTAAAAACACGATTGCTCTCTTAATTCCAAATGTGCTCCAGGAATCTTTTCTCTTTATGATGGAATAGACGATGGCCCCTTCTACACTGCCATATACACCAGATCATCAGAGAAGATAATCCACATTATCTGCTTTGAACTGGATTATTATCTACACTGCCATATAATCTAGTTTAAAGCAGATCATCTGGATTTTATATGGCAGCACAGAAGGATATTATGTCTAGGATAAGGCTGTCATGGATGATGATGATGATATTGTATTTCATTAATAATAATATATTATATATTAATTTTATATATTACTAGCCGTCCCCTGTCACGCGTTGCTGTGGCCCACATGGGGGTTCTGTGTGGGAGGTTTGGTCCAATTCTATCGTTGGTAGGGTTCAGAATGCTCTGTGATATTTTTTTTTTGTCATGTCAGGAGCGATTTGAGAAACTGCAAGTTGCTTCTGGTGTGAGAGAATTGGCCGTCTGCAAGGACGTTGCCTAGGGGACGCTTGGATGATTTGATGTTTTTTATCATCCTTGTGGGAGGCTTCTCTCATGTCCCCGCATGAGGAGCTGGAGCTGATAGAGGTAGCTCATCCGCTTCTCCCTGGATTCGAACCTGCGACCTGTCGATCTTCAGTCCTGCCAGCACAGGGGTTTAACCCACTGCACCACCGGGGGCTCTTTGATTGTAGGTGAGCTATAAATCCCAGCAACTACAAGACCCAAATGACAAAATCAATCCGCCCCCAACCCCACCAGTATTCAAATTTTGGCGTATCAGGTATTTGTGCCAAATTTGGTCCAGTGAATGATGTAGGTGAACTACAACTCCAAAACCAAAGGACACTGCCCACCAAACCCTTCCAGTATTTTCTGTTGGTCATGGGAGTCCTGTGTGCCAAGTTTGGTTCAATTCCATCGTTGGTGGGGTTCAGAATGCTCTTTGATTGTAGGTGAACTATAAATCCCAGCAACTACAACTCCCAAATGACAAAATCCATTTTTTAAGTGAAGGACATACATTGGGTTGTTAGGTGTCTTGTGTCCAAATTTGGTGTCAATTTGCCCAGTGGTTTCTGAGTTCTGTTAATCCCACAAACGAACATTACATTTTTATTTATATAGATTATTATTATTAGTAGTAGTAGTAGTAGTAGTAATATTTCTAACCTGCCTCTGCTCATGGCTTGAGGTGGATTGCAGCATAATTCAAGCACATAAACATTATAAAAATTATATAAATATACATATTCTATTAAAAGGTTTATTTATTTATTTACAGTATTTATATTCTCTACCCGTCTCACCCCGAATGGGGACTCAGAGTGGATTACAGAACACATATATAGTAAACATTCAATATCATTAATACACTGACAAGACAGACAACTGTACATAGATAGAGGTATATATACAGGCTTTCCCATCTTTGGCATCTTGGAGGCTGTGCTTGGTTCCAGCCACGGGGGGTGCTGTTGCTCCGTCTTCCATACCAAAGAGTGTAAACTTTGCTTGCATTTTTCTGGCATTTCCTTATGGGTGTCTTAAATACCTTGCTTATGTGGTACCCATATCTACTCCCATTGCTATTTTCCAAACTGCTAGGTAGGCAGAAGCTGGGCTAAAAGGCCAGGAGCTCACCCTGACTTGGGCTTTGAACTGTCAACCTTTCAGTTGGCAAGATTTACTGGCTTATTTCAATTGCATTTCTGCAAAATACAATTGAAATACACAGAACAGAGATTAAACACAAGACATTCTACACTGCCATTTAAAATCCAGATTATCTAACTGGATTATATGTCAGTGTAGAGGGGGGTGGAAAGGACCCCTCATCAATTTCTTCTGGCCGGGAAAATCCCAGAGGTGGGGCTTTCAAGAGGAGTGGCTTTCACTCGTATAAATGCCAAAGAGTCAAAGGAGAAGAGAAGAAGCAGAGCAAAGCCCAAACTGAAGTTGCTCCAAGGTAAGGAGGGGAAAGGGGGCGTGGTTTAGCCCCGCCGGGGGCTTCTGATTGGCTGTCCCCGGGCAAAGGGGCGTGGCTTTGTGCCTGGGTTTGTTTTGCAAGTTTAGGGCTAGAGTGGAGCTACACTGGTAGGCAATGCAATTTCGGAATGCAGGTGAACTGCCTTGGATTAGTTTATATGGCATGCAAGGCTGTTCCCCTGCAGTCTGAAACTGCATTGTATGGCATTGGAGATGTAGTGTGGAAAGGAAGAAGGAAGGGAGAGTCAATGAAAGAGGAATATGAAAGAGGTCGGGTTTCCCTTTTGCATGATGTTTTGAGGGCACAAACCCAATTCTCCAGCTGCAGCACAAAGCCACAGCTTATGAAGCATATTTGCAAAGTTGAAGGGGTGGGAAAAGAATGTGGTAAGGTCCAGAAAGATGCCAATCATGCCTCCTGACCTAAGTTTTCCAAGGACTGCATAAATGTGGTACCGATTTTAGACATCTTTACAGAGTTCTGCTGATGGGAAGGCAATAAATCTGCTTGCCCACATTCACTTTCCCTGGGTTCAGAACTCTCTCTGAAAAGATGCCCTTTGTTATATGTGCAATTGCAAAAACTCGTGTGTGAGTGTGTGTGTGTGTGTGTAGCAGTTATGGGCAAATGTGGCTCCTTGGGCTCTGTTCTCAGGCCCTCCTCTCTCATACCATCCTATCCTTTCTTCTCTCCTTCTTCCCTCCCTCTTTCTCCCTCCCTCCTTCCTTTCCTTCTACCTATTCGTCCTTTCCTTCTCTCTCTCTTTCCCCTTCCTTCCTTCCCTTTTGTCTTTCCTTCCTCGTCTCTTTCCTTTAGCCTTTCCTTCCTTCCATCCATCCTTTTCTTCCTCCTTCCCTTCTCTTTTTCTTTTCATCCTTCCCTTTCAGTCTTCCTTCCCTTTTGTCTTTCCTCACTCATTCCCTCTCTCCCTCTTTCTCCTTCCATTCTTCCGTCCCTCCCTTTAGTTCTTCCATCCTTCCCTTCCTTCCATCCATCCTCCCCTTTGTTCTGTCTTTCCTTCCTTCTCTTTTCCTTCTTATCTCTCACTTTCTCCTTCCACCCTTTCATCCTTCCTTCCTCCACTCTCCTTCTTTCTCCTTCCTTCCCTTTTGTCTTTCCTTCCTCGTCTCTTTCCTTTATCCTGCCCATCCTTACGTCCATCCTTCTTTTCCTCCCTCCTTTCTCTTTCCTCCTTCCCTTTCATTCTTCCTTCCCTTTTGTCTTTCCTTCCCTTTCCTCCTTCCCTCTCTCTCCCTCTTTCTCCTTCCATCCATTCCTCCCTTTTGTCCTCCCTTCCTCTCCTCCCTTCCTTATGTCTTTCCTTCCTTCTCCCTTTCCTTCCTCCTTACCTCCTTCTTTCTCCTTCCACTGTTTTGCCCTTCCTTTCCCTTTGTTTTTCCTTCCACATCACTTTCCTTTATCCTTCCCTTCCTTCCATCCATCCACCCATCCTTCTCTTCCTCCTTCCCTTCCATCCCTTTTGTCTTTCCTACTTCCCTCTTTCCTCCCTCTCTCCCTCTTTATCCTTCAATTCCTTTCATCCTTCCTTCCTTTTTTCCTTCCTTCCACCTTTCCCTCCCTTTTGTTTTTCCTTCTCTTTTTCCTTCCTCCTTACCTCCCTCTTTCTTCTTCCATCCTTCCCTTCCACTCTTTTCTCCTTCCTTCCTTCCTTCCTTCTCTCCCCCTTTTTCCTTCCTTCCCTTTTGTCTTTCCTTCCTTCTCTCTTTCCTTTATTTTTCCTTCCTTCTTTCTCTTCCTCTCTTTCTTCCTTCCCTTTTTCCTTCCTCCTTCCCTCCCTCCCCTCCCCTTTGTCTTCCCTTCTTTCCTCCCACTTTCTCCTTCCATTCTTCCCTTCCTTCCTTCCATCACTGGGCAGCCAGTCCTCCTAGCAGGGAGTACTAACATGTGGCCCCCAAGTTAGAAAGTTTGCCCAGACCTGGTGTATAGTATGCCCGTTGTCTTAGTTTACAGCTCTCTTCAAATAGCTATTCAATTCTGTATTTGAATCTGATTCAGTTCAACTTATCCTCTTTCCAGTCCTCCTTTGTAATTTCCTTGGCCCCTTCTAGATTGCCATATAAAAGTCCAGATTATCTCATCTGAACTGGAGTATATGGCAGTGTAGACTCATATAAACCAGATTAAAGCAGACAATATGGATTATCTGCTTTGATAATCTGGATTGTATATATGGTAGTGTAGAAGGGAGCCTTGTTTGAGGGACTGCAACCTGTAAATCCCTTTCTGTATGTTCAGGGAGGCTGAAATGTGCTGCATTTAAGATTATTGCCATTTCTAATGTCGGGTTGGTGTCTGTACATCTACTTGTGTAGAGACTGCCCTGTTTGTCTAATGTAGAGTGAGAAGGGGCATTAATTAGGATGGTATTACATCACATTGGAGGAAAAGACAGACCTCTGATGTTTTGGGTGATGTTATTTGCCCTGCTCAAATATGGAAATCTACTAGGCAATGCTCACGTTCTGAGCTTCAGGAAGGCAACCTCGTAGCAAATCCTGCCAAGAGAATCCCATGCTGAGATTCACCTTAGAAACAAAGGCTCACAACATTCAACAACAACCCAGAACTTAGTTCTTGTGGGTTTTTTCGGGCTATATGGCCATGTTCTAGAGGCATTCTCTCCTGACGTTTCGCCTGCATCTATGGCAAGCATCCTCAGAGGTAGTGAGGTCTGTTGGAACTGGGAAAAAGGACCTCACCTCTGAAGATGCTTGCCATAGATGCAGGCAAAATGTCAGGAGAAATGCCTCTAGAGCATGGCCATATAGCCCGAAAAAACCCACAAGAACTTAGTGATTCCAGCCATGAAAGCCTTCGACAACCCAGAACTTGTAGTTTGCTTGGAAAGTTTGAATTGGCTGCTAGAGAACTCTACAACAGGGGTGTCAAAGTCATTTTCAGCAAGAGCCACACCAGCCTTATTATTATTATTATTATTATTATTATTATTATTATTATTTATCATTTCAGAAGTGAGTTTGAGAATACAGTTATAATGTATAGAAAAACCACAAACAAAGCTAAATGTTCTTTGTCCAGACGCTGGCCACTTCGAGTGCCTCTGGTGTCACAGTAAGAACGTCCTCCATTGTGCATATGGAAGGACTCAGACCACATTGTAGTAAGTGGTCTGTTTGCTCTTCTCCACACTCGCATGTTGTGGACTCCCATTTCTTAAGGTTGGCTCTGCGTCTTGTGGTGCCAGAGTGCAGTCTGTTCAGTGCCTTCCAAGTCACACAGTTTTCAGTGTGCCCAGCAGGGAGTCTCTCCTCTGGTATCAGCCATGGGTTGGGTTCTGGGTTTTAGCCTGCTACTTTTGGACTCTTGCTTGCTGAGGTGTTCCTGAAAGTATCTCTGTACATCTCAGGAAGCTGTGTCTTGATTTAAGATGTTGGCATACTGGCTGATATCTGAACAGAGGATGGTCCAGAGATGTCACTGCCTTGGTCCTTTCATTATTAGCTGTTACTTCCTGGCAGATGTCAGGTGTGCAATACTGACTAAACAGTATAATTCCTCCAGTGGTGTGCGGCGTAGACATCCTATGATAATGTGGCATGTCTCATTAAGAGCTACATCCACTGTTTTAATGTGGTGAGATTTATTCCATGCTGGGCATGCGTACTCAGCAGCAAAGAAGCAAAGCACAAGGGCAGATGTCTTCCCTGTATCTGGTTGTGATCCCCAGGTTGTGCCAGTCAGCTTTCATATGATATTATTTCCAGTATTCACTTTTTACTTGATAGTCAAGCAGTGCTTCTTGTAAATCAGAGCACAGTTCAGAGTAACTCCCAAGTATTTTGGTGTGCTGCAGTGCTCCAGTGGGATTCCTTCCCAGGTAATCCTCAGAGCTCGAGATGCTTGTCTGTTCTTAAGGTGAAAAGCACATGTCTGCATTTTAGATGGATTAGGAATCAGCTGGTTTTTCCTGTAATAGGCAGTAAGAGCACCTAAAGCTTTGGAGAGCTTCTGTTCACCCATTCCAAAGCTCCCTGCTTGAGCGGTGATTGCATGATCGTCGGCATAGATGAAACTCTGTCCCTTCTGGCAGTGACTGATCATTTGTGTAAATAATAATAATAATAATAATAATAATAATAATAATAATTCAAAGGTCCATTGAATCCATGGAGGGATTCATGGATACAGAAGCCAACCCTATCTATCTATCTATCTATCTATCTATCTATCTATCTATCTATCTATCTATCTATCTATCTATCCATCCATCCATCCATCCATCCATCTATCCATCCATCTATCCATCCATCCATCCATCCATCCATCTATCCATCCATCTATCCATCCATCCATCTATCCATCCATCCATCTATCCATCCATCTATCCATCCATCTATCCATCCATCCATCCATCCATCCATCTATCCATCTATCCATCCATCCATCCATAAGACAGTGTTTCTCATAACGTAGTATTCTAAACCTTTCAAATGCCGCAACCCCTTAATACAGTTCCTCATGTTGTGGTGACCCCCAACCATAAAATTATTTTTGTTGTTACTCCATAACTGTTATTTTGCTGCAGTTATGAATAGTAATGTAAATATCTGATATGCAGGATGTATTGTCATTCATTGGACCAAATTGGGCACAAATACCCAATACGTCCAAATTTGAATACTGGTGGGATTTGGAGAAAATAGACCTTGACATTGGGAGTTGTAACTGTAAACTTGCTACTGTTATGTTTGAATCATAATGTAAATACACAGGAAGCATTTTCATTCACTGGACCAACAAAACCCCGATACGCCCAAATTTGAATACAGGTGGGGTTGGGGGTGAGTGATTTTGTCATTTGAGAGTTGTAGTTTCTGGGATTTATAGTTAATCTACAATCAAAGAGAATTCTGAATTCTACCAACAATGGAATTGAACCAAACTTGGCACGCAGAACTACAGAAGTCCAACAGGGTCTGGTGAGCCTTGACCTTGAG